TTTGGTTTTCTAACTCCAGGTCTTTGCACATTTCGTTATAATACTTTACTTTGTCTTCCTGAGCTGCCCTTTGAAATGATCTATTCAACTCTGACTTCCTCATTTCTTCCATATGTTTTAGCAAATTTCAGAATCTCTTCAGACATCCTTTTTGGTCTTTTGTTTCTGTTCTGTCTTTTCAATAACTTTTTACTTTCTTCTTATATGATGCTCTGGATGGCTGTCTGGTCTTCAGCCACTAGTGTCTAAGGCATCAAGTAGATATTGTTGAAATGGTCTCTAATTCAGGTGGGATATATTCAAGGTCATATTTTGGCTCTGGTGGGGTTATTTTAATTTTCTTCAGTTTCAGCTGAACTGGCATATGACCAGTTGATGGTCTGTTCCACAGTCTTCCCCAACCTTGTTTTGACTGATGATATAGAGCTTTTCTACTGTTTGTTTCCCCAACTATAGTTAATTTGATTCCTGTGTATTCCATCTGGTGAGGTATTTTTGTGTAGTCATCTTTTATTTTGTTTGTTTAACACAGGTATTTGCAATGAAGAAGTCATTGGTCTTAAAAAAAATTCTATCATGTGATCTCCAGCATCATTTCTTTCACCAAGGCCATAGTTTCCAACTACGGATCCGTCCTCTTTGTTTCCAGCTTCACATTTCAGTTCCCAGTAGTTATCAATACATCTTGATTGCATGTTTGATCGATTTCAGACTGAAGAAGTTGGTAGAATTGTTCAATTTCATCATCATTGGCTTTAGTGGTTGGCATGTAAATTTACAAAATAGTGATATTAACCCGTCTTCCTTGTTATTGTTACTGTTGTTGTTAAGAGTCAGTACCAACTGACAGTGAACTCACAGCACAACAGAATGAAACACTGCCTGGTCCTGTGCCAACCTCACAATCATTGCTATGCTTGTACCCACTGCTGTTGCCACAGTGCCAATCCATCTCATTGAGGGCCTTCTTTGTCATTGACTGGTCCCTCCTAATAATATGTCTATAGTATGAGAGATGAACTCTGGCTCTCCTGGCTTCTAGGGAGCATTCTGGTTGTACTTCTTTCAACACAGATCTGTTTGTTCTTTTGGCAGCCCGTGGAACTTTTAATATTCTCCTCCAACACCATCACTCAAATGCATCAATTCTTCTGGTTTTCCTTATTCACAGTCTAACTTTTACATGCATATGAGGCTATTGAAAATACCATGGCTTGGTTCAGGAGCGCCTTAGTCCTCAAACTGACATTGTTGCTGTTCAACACTTTGAAGAGGTCTTATGCAGCAGATTTGCCTAATGCAATACATCATGTGATCTTCTGATTGCTGCTTCCAGGAGTGTTGAAGATTGCTCTGAACAATATGAAGTCTTTGACAACTTTAATCTTTTCTCCATTTATCTTGATATTATTTATTGGTCCAGTGGTGAGGATTTTTGTTTTCTTTATATTGAGATGTAACTCATGATGAAGACTGTGGTCTTCGATCTTTTTCAGTCATTATTTTAATTCATCTTTGTTTTCAGCAAGCAAGGTTGTATCACCTGCATATCACAGGTTGTTAATGAGTCTTCCTCCAACCCTGATGCCATGTTTTTCTTCATGTACTCCAACTCCCTGAATTATTCTCAGCATACAGATTGAGTAAGTATGATGAAAGAATACAACCCTGGTGCACACCTTTCCTACTTTTAAAC